GTGAATGTTGTGCTTTTGCTACAACTTCATGTCTTACTGCCGCTTGACTTTGACGTGACAACTGTCGCAAAAAACACCAGACAACCGACGCAAAAAACACCGGTGGACAGCTTACTGGCAACCAATCCAAACAACACCGGTGGACAGCTTACCGTCGCAAAACACACCGGCCACAGGTTGGAAAAAACACCGATGAATGCAACCGTCTGGAAATACACCGCTTACCGTCGCAAAGAACACCGTCCCCAAAGGACCAAGCATCGTTTGAAACAAACAACAAACAAGCAAGCATACCAACAAAACCAGTCAGTTTCCTGCTTCTGATTTCTTTTGTAAAGCTGGAAACAATTCCTAGTATATAGTATAGATTAGATCAGAAACAACGAAATGGCGCGGGTTCGGGTCCATCCTCCCGCGCTTCTGGAGTGCTGCTCGTGGAGGGCTCCCCTGTGCTGCTCGGTAGTCAAGTTCGCTGCCAAATACCGGGTCAAACAGGCTTCTGCTTCACAGGCCATGACCTAATCCGATTTGCGCTTCGACTCAATAACATGGAAGTCAAACTCCAGGGCCATTGTCTCTTGCATGTGCATGTGAGTGAGAGTGTGACTTAACAGATTTGCCAGGTCGTCTTAAAGGATCCAAGGATGTCTTTCACCCACGCAGCTACCCAAACCTCTCCAACCCTTTGATCCTGTACCTATCGGACCTATCGTCATGTTATAGCATGTTATAGCTCTTCCCATCCTGCTTCAACGGTGGCTTGGTGGTCATATCTTGTCATAATATGGATTCATATGGAGGAAGCTAAACCTGTACGTGCTGAGGTTCTGCCAGCAGCTGTGAACCTGCCAGTTGGATGTTTCTCGTCTTTCAGGATAGCGGAAGCGGATCATTCATAAGCTTGCTCCTTCTGCCTGCGTGCCCTGATGCCAGCCAGCTTCTTTATGCCTCGTTACGATTATTTGCCCGCATTGCTTTCAATATGTGCTCTATCAAAAAAAACAAAACGTGTTGGGTCGGGTTGAAGATTGACAAAACGATACCAAACGCACACAATAGACATACTGCAGCATTGATCCGCCCAAACGGGCCACCCGCCAGGGTTCCGCACAGCCAGCCATCTGTGAAGACGGTGTAGCGCTCTTCAGCTTGGGCGCACCGCTCACCTCCCCGAGCAACTCTCTCGCTGCAGCAGGGCAGCGACTAAGATGCATGATAAATCATGATAATGTTGACCTTTGATTTATAAACGCCCCTAGAATAATGTCACTTTTTTTCCTGCACAGATTTATAAAGGCCCCCAGAATAATGTCTTCTTTTTTTTTTTGGGAGGGGTAGTTGTAGTGGGATATTTTTTATTGTTATAGTTTTCTTTTTCCCTTTTGAGTTTGCTGGGATTTGCTTATCTTACAGGCTTTTGGATGGATATTTCTATTAAACAGTTGGAGATTTCCATTGAGATTTGATGCTTTTG